TCTTTCCCCCAGCCTGAGACACCCCCACCCCCCAGACACACACCCAAAGGCGTTCCTGCTTCCTTCTCTTGCTGTTCGCGGGCAGTTCAGGGAAGGGACTTGCTTTGGATTTGTGGGGTGTTGCTCTGACATGGGAGCTCTGGTAGGTGACCCCAATAACTTTTGTTCCTCAGGGTAAAATGTCCCAGAATTTCCGCACCAGCTACACGGAAACACTCGGCAAGCTGGAGACGCAGTACTGCAAGCTGATGGTGAGTGGGCATTGTACACCCCACCCACTGGCACTGTGCCCTGCTGCTTCCTGAGGGTCCTGTCCACCCCCCCAGCATCCAAGGTGAAAGATGCAGGATGTATCCATGCCTTGTTGCGCTAGCAACAACTTTGGGGGCTTGCAAGCAGAGGAGAAGAGCAGCCACCTGTGTGGGTTCCTCCCAGCAAAGAGGAAGCCCACATAGCTATAGTTTCTGCAAGGCTGGACTGTGCACTGCTGAGGGCCATGGCTTTAGTCTCAGTTATTTCCCCCTGTCTCCAGGAGGCAAGTGGCCACTTCTCCAAGCTGTTTGCCTGCTGGCCTCAGGCCATGCAGTCCAGAAGATATTCCCCCAAATGCTTCCCAGTTTACAGCAGATCCTCATGGCTGCAATTGTCCTAGGAATGTGGTGGGGGCATGATTCTCACTTAGCGAGTAGGAGGGCATCTGGAGAGTGTTTTAAGCCCTCTTCCCGCCTTGGTGGCACTGACATAGAGTCGGGGAAGGATCCCATTGCAGCTCACCCGAGGGGCGCGGGTTTTTTGTTGTGCGCAGGAAACGTCCAGCTTCCGACTGCGGCATCTCCAGAGTCTGTACGGGTTTGTGTCTCGAGCCACAGCTGAGCTCATCTGGCTGAACGAAAAGGAGGAAGAGGAGCTGGCCTATGACTGGAGTGACAATAACTCCAACATTGCAGCCAAAAGAAATTACTTCTCGGTGAGTGAGACCCTGAGACGCGGCCTCTAGCTGTACAGCTCTGCTGGTGATGCTGCTGCTGCTGTGAGCCTTTTAGCTTCATGAACAATTCGGGAGACCACTGGGAACTGTAGTCGAGACTTTTCAGGAGCTCTGAGTTCCTCCAGCCCAGCCCATAGTGCTTGTAACCTGTCATCGCCACCCAGAAAACATGGTTCTTGGCAGAGTTTGGAGCTCAAAGTAAAGTCTGTTCAGCTGGGTTTCTTGTTGTCCCCATCCCCCACCCACCTCCACTTCTGCAAGCATGGGAAAAACAATCTTATTCGGAGCTCAAGAGATTCCCAGGCCGAAATTCTGGGCTACAGCTGGAAAGACATTACCTTTTAAATTCTTAATCAAATAATGTCATTCAAAACGGAAATCAGAGGCACTGGGGAATTCTTGGTGACTTTTCCATCACTGGTTTCACATCTTCAGATCCTCTCACGTCTTCAGTTTTGGTTGGATACTTAAAATATGGTTACTACACAAGTGTCTGATTTTGACCAGTCTTTATGTGTATCTGACACTCAGGAGCTGACGATGGAACTGGAAGAGAAGCAGGACGTGTTTCGGTCTCTGCAAGATACAGCTGAGCTGCTGTCCCTGGAGAATCACCCAGCCAAACAAACTGTCGAGGTACGTGGTCTGTTCAGGGGCACACACCGAAGGGTTTCACCCCCAGTCATGTCAGTCGAACCCAGGGAAGCCCTCATGAAGAAGCATGATCAGCAAACATGCAATAAACATGCTGCGCTTCTACCTCCACCCTGGGTAGATGCTTCCTCTGCCCGAAGAAGGGTGTTTGTACCCGAAAGCTTGCAAAGACGAATTTTTCCAAGTATTTTAGTTGGTCTAATAAACGATATCAGATTTACCCAAAGAACCGTGTCTGCCTGTGTCCTTAGACTAACACGGCTGCAACCAACAGTACCTCGGCCCCAGTCACTCTTATCAGCTCTAAGTGGTGGCAAACAGCTTTATTGTACCAGGAAAACAAAGACCATTGTGATGATGACAAGAAGTGCTTGCTTATCCAGGGCCCAGACCCAAGGTCCTGTGGTAAGATAAGACAGCAAATGACCCTGAGCTAACTTTGAATTGTTCATGCTCATGAAAGTGATGGAGAAACATTTGAAGGTCATTGGAGCATGCTTTCTCTTGCTGTTTCATTCATGAACCAGCACCATCCCACAGTTCCCTGTGCTGGAGAGTAGAAGGAAATGTCCTTTCAGGAGGTGCCATTAAAAGGCCTCTCTGCCTTATTTCCTTTTGTGTCTCTTCCACTACGCTCCCCCTTGCACCTCGTGGGAGCTAAATCCAGCCTAACAGTGTGAACTTCAGGAGCTATTTAAATGCTGACCCATAAAACTCCTGCTTTCATTTTGGTTGTAATTCGTGGTGTCCTTTGCCTTCCCAGGCATACAGTGCGGCTGTCCAGTCCCAATGGCAGTGGATCAAACAGCTCTGCTTGTGCGTGGAACAGCACGTGAAGGAGAACGCTGCTTACTTTCAGGTAGAGTAGCAGGGAGAGCCCAGCCCTGCCCTCCCTCATCTGCCGTTCAGAGAACAAAACCTGCACTGAGTGCCTGTAGCACAGCGCCAACTGACTCTAGTTTGATAAAGGGCATCATCCTTTTTTTTATTCCATTCCATCTCCTTCTCTTCTGACCTGTCCCCAGGGGATATTTTGCCCTCTATGTTGTAGGCTCAGCTAGCCCTCGGCATGCAGATAGTGCTGCTCACAGCTGTCACGGTGCAGGGGGACAGGGCAGTAGAAGGTGCTTGCCTGCTGAGGGTGTTGGTCAGACCCTTTCGGCACCATGTGTCGCTGAGTGGCCGGGGTGTGTTGAGTGGTACCGAGTTCTCTGACGCTTTCTGGCTCCGCAGTTCTTCAGCGATGCCCGAGAGTCGGAGACGTACTTAAGGAACCTCCAGGACTCCATCAAACGGAAGTATTCTTGTGACCGTAACACCAGCCTGACCCGACTGGAGGACCTGCTCCAGGATTCCATGGTGGGTGTTTTCTCAGCCCCCAGATTATGGGGTGTCCACGTGACAGACGACCAGTCCCGTGCAGCACCCTTGCTGCCTGCCTTTGGCTTTAAGGGGAAAAATGGTATATTCATTCTGAGATCAGCATGGTTAAGCTTCATGTTCTTTGCCCGCTCATCTCTGCCCTGTCTTTGCATTCTGATTTTCAGTGGTATTTTGTGGCAGGCCACTCCTGCGCTGAGCCACCCACCTCACTGCGCCCGACCACTGATCAGGCTCAGAGTGCCTCCCCTCTTCCCAGATCACACCTGCGAGCCTGGGGTCACCGCTGCCACCACCCAGGAGTCTTGGTCTGTCTGCGGCCCTGTGCCCCCTGGGATGCACCGGCCTTATAGAGCTTGAGGGTGCCTGATCCACTGCAAAAACTGGGGGTGCTTCCTTTAGCGTGAAGCTCAAAATGTAGCCTCCCATCGTCAGCCGGACCAAGGGGGGCACAAAGGCAGACTTGGTAGCTTCGCCACCAAAGTGATAGACACCTGAGAGGGAGAGGGAGGGGGGAACAGACTACCCCCCAGCCTCCAAGGAGGAGGCTGTAACAGCGTTTCATCACGGTGTTCACACACAATATGTGTGTGTGTGTGTGTGTGTGTGTGTGTGTGTGTGTGTGTGTGTGTGTATTTGGAGTGCAGCCTGGGTGTGACCTCCATGGTATCACTTAGTGTTGATTTAACACTGTCCACACTAATCTGATTTTAATTGAATCGTTATAATGGAAGACGAGTGACTGCAGTGAAGGACTGTCGTGTACGAGGCACCTTGGCACAAAACACTCCACCTCCTTGTGACCTTGTTAAAGGCTGGAGTGGCTGGCTGTACAGATCAGCTGACTAGACACCTCTTGTAGTGTAGAAAAATGAGAGATGCTCACGGTTTCTTTTAAAAAGTTCCCATCATTAGTATCCATCAAACCATCTTTCCATATGTAAATTTGTGGGGATAAGCCTTTTTTTTTTTAGGTAGAGGCAGTCACTGTGCTTTGATCCAGTGAAGATCTACTCTGCTTTGATCTAGTTGAAGGCTGTAACCTCCTTAGTTGCTGCTCCTGCTCCTTCAAGAGCAAGGTGGGATGGAGAGAAACCCCCTCGCTCAGTTCAGCTCAAGTCTCTGATTAATTGGTTACGCCAGGTCCACAAAGGAGGCTAGCTCTAAAATCAAAGCTATCAGCATTTGGTGTCTGTTTTGCAATCGGGACAGCAGCAAGAGCAGGGGCGGGCAATTATTTCAGGTGGAGGGCCACTTACTGAGTTTTGGCAAGCCACCAAGGGCTGCGTGACAGGTGGCTAGGGGCAGATAAATATTAATTTTCAAAAATTTTTAGGGGCCCCAGGGGCCAGATAGAATGGCCTGGCGGGCCGCATCTTGCCCACCCCTGAGCAAGAGGGTGACATTAATGCAACTGGTGCACCATAGAGCTGTTCACACAGCAATGCCAATAGACAGGACAAGAGAAACTGGGGGGAGAAGCATCAATCTGTGATTGAACTCTGCGCCCTAAAGAGGAGGACAAGTCCACGCTAGTGCTTCACTGCTCAGCTATGATGAATATTCAGGGAGGTTGAACTCAGATGCTGCACGACCCAGTTGCCATGTACGATCTCCCAGTGTTTCTGATGGTTCATTTGGTCCCTGAAGGTTTTGCTGTAGAAATGTGGGCACTGATCTGACGGTCAGTCGGTCACACGTGGTAAATCCTCTGGGCTCACCTGTGCTCTCTCTTCTTCTCGAGGCTCGGTGTGGCATTCCCTCCTCTCCATGTCAGGGTCCTCAGGTGCTGTGAGTAATCCAGGTCTGGTGCTCAGCCTGTCTCCTCCGGTCATCAAGACGTGGAGCAGCTATCATGGCTTCTGGTGCTCTTATCAGAGTGGTATCCACACGTACTTAGACTCTGGAGCATTAGAAAGCTGGCCCTGGGCCTCTGGCATGCTAGGACCTCATGCCATGTTTAGAAGAGTAGCCAAGATCTAAGTAACGGGATGCTCTGGCTCTCTCCCTGGTATATGCTCATCCTCTTTCTTACCTAATGAGTTAAAGCTGTATTTCTTCCAACCATGCTGCCTGGGACAGGCACAGGTAGTTTCTTTAAGCACTTCTTTTCCATACCATTAAATAATTGACTGGTCATCCTCTCTAGCACTGAAGCTAACCCTTTTTAATGGGCTGAGCGTGGAAAGCATGAGGGTTAAATGTCTCTGGATTTGGGGGGGTTTCTTTTCTTTTTCACTTCTGGCTTTAGAAAAAAAAAATGGGCTGAACCCTAGAGCTTGCAACAAGGTCCTGAAAGACGTGCTTCTCCAGTGGAATGGCTTGGGGGTTTGCCAGTGCTCTGGAAGGGAGCATCCCTGTGTTAGCAAGCAGTGAGAGGAGCAGAAACCAGAGGGCGGGGGCAGTTGGACAATGCCTTTCTGCCCTGAGGGTGGGCACGCCTGCAGTATTTCAGGTTAAGCAAGACGGGGAACTTGGGATGTGTCAGCTGCTCCGTAGTAGCCACGTGGTGGATGTGAGGCAGCTTTTCAGTGAAAGCGGTGTGAGCTACCTTGCACTGACCGTGCGTTTGGGCTGCGCACGTGGAGAAGCTGACTTGGGGGAAGTTGGGAGCCTCACTGAACCCATCCAGTTGCCCATACGCTGTGACCAGGCTTCCATTAACTGTTTTGGGGGGGAGGGGGGCTTTATCCCCTTACCCCGCTGCGTTGACCTTCTAGACGTGGTTTGAAATGCGCTGCCGTTCCTTGCTTTGTGAGAGCGAGGAGGGGAGCACGCTCCTACAGCCTCCCCAGAGCGGCAGAAAGGAGCGGCTCGTCGGCCAAGCCGCCCTGTGCTCCCCACCCTTTATATGCCGACAGACAGGATTTTCTTGCCTCTAGCAGCCAAAGAACCGATGCTCTGCATGCAGCTTTGCGGGGCGGGGGTGTCATATAGTTGCCTAGCAGGGGAAAAGCTGTGTTGTCCCCCCAGCCCTGGGGCGCAGGTGAGGGGAAGTCTCTTTGTGTTGGCTCAGACCTTAAATTCCCAGCCAGGAGGCTGCTGCCTTTTGGGAGCAGAGGGGCGTTGTGGCAATGCTAAGGGATTGACCGGTTATTTTACCCCCCCACGGCCTGCCAATGCTTCGCTTTTATCTTTGTCAGGATGAAAAGGAGCAGCTCATTCAGTCGAAGAGCTCCGTGGCCAGCTTGGTGGGGCGGTCCAAAACCATCGTTCAGCTGAAGCCGAGAAACCCGGACCACGTTCTGAGGAGCACCATCCCCGTCAAGGCTATCTGTGACTATCGCCAGATTGAGGTGAGCGGGCTGACGGGACAGCCCGGCAGGGGGTTTCTCTGGGGAGGGAAGGAAAGACTTTGAGCTTGTGTGGGAGCTGGGAGAGAGGGGACTTGTAGGGAAGGAGGAAAGAGAGAAGCTTGGATGGATCCTGTCGTATTTGATGGCATGGTAAGGAGGCAAAGGGAACAGTCTCTGCTTCTCAAATAGCTTTTCCAATGACCTTGATTTGCTCTGAGTGGTAGTAAGTGTCCTGTTTCCAGAGGAGCATAGCATTAAATAATGGCCTGCATCCCACCCAGTTTTATCTAATTTCTCCTCCCTTCCTTTCCCGAAGTGACTGGCAATTTACCTCCTTTTGGGTTGATTTTTTTTTTTTCCTTTTTAAAGAAAGCTTTTACATTTCAATCCAGTTTTCCTCCGGTGGCAGCTCTGGGGCCTCCTAGAAAGGGACCTGGCTATCAGGGAAGGCATTCGCAGGTGATGCTTTTTTGTGGGTTGGGCGCCGGGTCAGAACCTCACCTGCCGCGGTCCTCCTAGATCACGATTTGCAAGAACGATGAGTGCGTGCTGGAAGATAACTCCCAGAGGACCAAATGGAAGGTGATCAGCCCCACTGGAAATGAAGCCATGGTGCCATCCGTGTGCTTCCTCATCCCTCCTCCGAACAAAGAGGCCATCGACATTGCCAACAGGTAACAAAGCCCTGTTCTTCGTGGCTTGCTGCGGTTTGGCGGCTCAAAGCCAGAGTGACGAGGGGATGCCTCTCTCTGCCTCTGTTGCAATGCGGGGGGGTATTTATACGGCTCCTGTACAAATCTCTGGTGCTTTAGGAAATGCCTAACCCCTTGGTCTTCCTGGGAGTTGTTCGTTTAAGGCTTGTCAGGACTTCAGTAGTTAGGAAGGAGGCGCCGAGGGAGTGAAATGATGGGGAATGCTTGGTTTCCTGATCCACAGCTCGAGTCCAGGTGTGGCCGGTGATATCCAGTAAAGGCATGGCGGGGCCTGGTTGCTGTTCAGTCAGTGATGTCAGTTCCCAATGACAGATGCTCAGCATCAACCAAAAGTGGGGTTACTGTTGACTCCCTTTCTTTTTTGTGTCCTTGGGACAAGGTATTTAGCAGAACTTTTAGATTTCGTTGGGATTTGTCAGGCTGAGCCATGAGTGCTTCTGTGGCCTCGAGCTTGCGACCTCTGCACTGTCAAGTGTGCGCCTTAGCGCCCACGCCACCCCGGCCCCCGGTGACTCCCTTTGATGACAGTATTAGCAGGGAGCCTGGCCCCCGGGGGGTTGCCGAGACTGTCTGGCTTTTTACACTGGTGCAGACCCCTTGTGTTAGACCTGCCGGACCACTGTGAGCCCAACTAGTGCTAGGGCTAGTTTCAAACGACCACGCTTCTGGCTTGTATGAGGGCGGCATGTCTATGGTAGGGGTTTGCAAGGAAACTAGTGTAGACGTGAGACTCGAGTTTTCTCTCGCTTCCTGGGCCGGAGCGAAGGGCACCTGGTTATGTCTGCTCTTTGACTAGCGAGGCATTACCTGTAGTGGGGCCTGCCTGGCAGCTTCCACAACCATTACTTGTTATGTGTATGGTGCCTAGGAGCTCAGTCCTGGACCAGGTGCAAGGTGCTGTACAGAACCAGAACACAAGATAATCCCTGCTGCAGAGTTTACAGTTTGCGGCTAAGCCGAGACAGGCAGATGAGACCCAGGAAACAAAGCAACAGTGTTGGTCAACGTGATGGGCAGTGATCCTAGCACAGCAGCCGCCTCAACACTGTCAAATGTTTGTAGGCAACCTGCTAAAGAAGAGTTTTAATGAGGGGTTCGAAGGAGGATGAGGGGAAGATTTGCTGATAGCTATGATGAGCTTCTCCTGAGTGTTGAGAGAAGCAGATTATCTAACAAGTGGGTGATGAAGCCTGGCTTCTTGGCTGGTGGGAGGTGGGAATCGATGTTTCTGAGAGCTGGTAGCAGGAGTGAGGATAGCTCACGGAGAACACTGAAGGTGAAGACGAGCAGCATATGTTTGATGCTACAGCGGAGGGGAGCCATGGAGGAGCGCAGAGAGAAAAGACCTGGTCAGAGCTGCAGGCTAGGGGGATGATTCTTGCAGCAGCCTTCTGGATGGGTGTGAGCAGGACCAGAGGGCATTTGTCAAGGCCGGAGAAAAGGATGCTGCTGTCCCTGGGCAAGATGCTCGGCTACGGAGGTGGAGAAGGAAAAAGCCATACGTTAGGTTTTGTGCAAAATGAATCAGCAAGATGTAGAGAGAGCTTGGATGTGAAGACCTGAAGGGGAGGGTGATACCCAGATGATGGGCCTAACTGGCTGGCAGGCGGGAGCGTTGTCCACAGCGGTGGAGAAGGGGGTAGTGGGGAAAGATGAAGAGCTTTGTTTTAGAGCTTTTAGAGCTTGAGCTGACGCCAGCCATCTGTGGGGGGATGTCAGAGATCCAGGCTGAGCTGCGACACTCAGCCTGGAGGGGAGGACAGACCTGCCTACAGTGCAAACGCTGTTAAAGGCAGAAAGCTGAAGAGCCTGTTGCGGCAGGACCGGGCCAGGCGGCCTGCCGTAACCACGTGCGCTGGGGCATCGGCGGTGACAGGACGGCGCTGTCCTTTTGCAGGGTGGAGCAGCTGTACCAGAAAGTAATGGCCCTCTGGCACCAGCTCCACGTGAACACAAAGAGCCTGATCTCCTGGAACTACTTGCGGAAGGACTTGGCCTTGGTGCAAGGCTGGAACATAGAGAAGGTACGGTGCAGCACGCCCCTGCTGCACATCGCACATGATTTAATTTTAAAATTAAATCATCCTGGCCGGGGTGGGCTGTGATGCAGAGGCACCTGTAGCTTCAGGGGGAGTACAAGGAAATCGGGTGGGTGCAAGGGACAGAAAACCAAAGGGGCCGAGAGCCAGTGCTGTACATGGAGCCGAGGGGGGGTCCACGCTCGGGGGGCTTCAGTGCAAAAGTGGTTACAGATGTCTAGTGCCCCTGGCACTGACTCCACTCTCATGAACAAGGCATCACAGACCTGGTTGCAGTTGCTCCTCAGTGAAGTGTTAGGAGCGAGGTAAAGGGGAGAGATTTGAGACTCAGCTCCTTCTCACTTCTCTCCCCCTTTTTTACAATGAACAATTTCATTCAGGAAAATGTAGATTATTCTGCTGGGGAGATGGCAATAAAAACACCAAGCAGGGCAGACCTGGAGGTGACATGCAGAACAATGCACCTGCCAGAGCAGCGCTGTCCCAGGGAGGGCCCAGGGCTGGCTGTCCCCCTTGGAGAGATCAGGCTCTGCCCAGACAAGAAGCGTATGAATGACTGCTTCTGAGAAATGGGAGCAAGGTCTGGGCGACTCCAGGGCCTGGGAGGTGTGTGGGTGCATCTGGGTGAAGGGTGGGACTTTGTTCCTGATGGTTAGAGACTCTGCCGTTGCCTCCGCAGCTCAGGTCCTTGGCTCAAGGAGAGTGCCAGCAAGCCATGAAGAGCCTCCAGGCTCACTACGAAGACTTCCTGCAGGACAGTCGTGACTCCGAGCTCTTCTCGGTGGCTGATCGGTTGCACCTGGAGGAGGAAGTGGTCTCCTGTAAGGAACATTTCCAACAGCTTCTGGAGTCCATGGAGAATGGTGAGCTGGAGAGAGGTTAATGGATGGAGCAAGGACTCGGGGGCGCACAGGTGCTCTGAACTATCTAAGCAACATCATTGATCCTGGCTTTGTACACAGCTGCCTTCTCTGCCTCAGCCCATTTCCATGCATGGCCTTCATGAGGGCAGCACGCTACCAGCATGCTGAGCAGAGTGATCCAGGCGTTGTCACTTGTTCTGTAGCTGATGAGGGGGCACCTGCCTAGGCGTTGGTAGCCCTGGTGCCACCTGAGGCGAGCCCTGGGCAAAACGCTGCCTTGGCAGTCGATTCTCTGTCGTCTGCTTCATCATGGGAGACGTTGAAAAGGCCATCGAGTGAAATGTATGTTCAAGCTCAGTCATGTCATTCAGAGGGAGGACTTAACCGCTTGTGAGCATGTGTTGACTGTTCCTCTGGCACTGTTTTGCTGCCTGTCTGCTGTCTCCCTGTAAGCAAAGTTAAACCGTGGTAACTTAACCCTGTTTCATTCAGGGGTAACGTGCCTTGGTTTAACTTCCATTTACCACAGGGTTGGAACAGACAGGCCAAAGATTCAGCTGAATCACAGCGAGTTTTCTCTCCTTTTAAAGTAGCATAACTATTACATCTGTTCCTGCCCAGAATCATCTACAGGTGTGCGTGTCGCACGGCAGGGGTCTGGCTCTGACTCAGATAAAACAGTCTTTCACAATGTGAGATGCCCCCTGGCTAGAAGCCTTCCTAGCTATAGGGATGCTTTGATTGAATTATTTTCCATCTGAGCAGAGACCTCTGCCCTTGCTCCTCTCATCAGGCCGGTGCTGCACCTGGCTCCGAGCTTCTCGTTTGAGATGGTGATTGATCGATGGCCTTTTTTGTGTTTTTTCTCACAATTTGACAGAGGACAAAGATGAGACAGTTGCCAGGGTGTATCTCTCGGAGCTCAAGAACATTCGCCTGCACCTGGAGGAGTGTGAGCAGAGGCTAGTGAACCGAATCCAGACCCCGGCCAGCACCAGAGCAGATGGGGACGCTCCTCAGGAGAA